CATCCCTCCCCCATAGTCAACCCCTGCTAGGAGATGTAACAAAATCACCTTGTGGTCAACGGCATGAAAGGCAGGTGATAGTGATAGATCTAAAAGAATGAATGTGGACCTCCAAACTTCATCCATCCCCAGGGGTGAGACCATCCACACACCCACCCACTCAGCCTCAGTGCCATACAAGGTCTGAAGAACCCCAAAGAATCTCAGGATTTCTGGTTGTTCAGCCACCACATTCTCCATAACCTCCCGCAAAGATGGGATATTCCAGATGGGGTGATAGCTGGAGAAATTGCTCATGGCTAAGGCTACGTTGGTCAAGGAGATAACGGAAGTCACGGATTCCGAGATGTCTGGAGACCTCCCTGACATTTTGTGCTTCAGCCCCAGGGGCCAAGGGACTGGAGCTGGCAGCCAGCAGGGCCCCAGCAGGGTTCTGGCAACAGCCTTGCTGGCGGCAGGGACGGGGAGAGACTCGGGTGAGTGGCTGGGAGTGTCCTGTTTTCATTTTGGGAAATGCACCCTGCAGCTCCCAGCCACCATGAGAATAGGGGGGCACCCCCTGTAGCTTCCAGCTGCCGCAGGCAGAGGGAGAACCCCACAGCTCCCAGCCACCATGGTGGCAGGGGAAACCATGGAGCTGCAGCAGCAAAAGTCACAGACAGGTCACGGTTTCCGTGAATTTTTGTTTCTTGCCTGTGACCTGTCTGTGACTTTTACTAAAAAAAACCATGACAAAATTTAAGCCTTACTTATGGCATGTGATGGCTTTTGAAGCAGGAGTCTAACCATTCTTTCCTTGTGGGAAACCGACACTCTAGGTGACAAAGCTCTGCTGAAGTCATAGGGACATAGCCCTAAGGCATTGGTAGCAAATGGCACATCCTACAGCACCACCAGAACTCCTTCAAACCTCTGGGGCTTGAATGCAAGCAGAGAGGACTCTGTGTGTGGCCCCCCAGGAGCCATTTCCACTGAGGCAGCACTCTCAGTCAAGCTTTTTTGTACAGCCCTTGATGTGAAAGCCCCTCCCAATGAAAAGTTCTTGTTTTTGTCATTTGGTGCAAACAGCTCCGATTAACCAGATGGCCCAGAACACGTCCCCTGGCAGGGCCATCACAGAGGCAGAGGCAAAAAAGCCTCCACTGATTCCTTCATGGACTCGGCATAAGATTTCAAAACCCGATCATGCTGTCAGATTTGGTGTTGGAATGGCGCTTTGTCCATAAACAGGCCTCAGGGTGAAACACTTGATGACGGTTGGATTCGAGTGCACAGTGTTTGCTCATGGGCAGTTGTACGACACACGGGGGCATAATCAGTCCCAGGTTGATAGTAGTGTGTTAGTAGCTAAACATTGGCCTCAGGGTGGTACAGTGCCCTCTCAGCTTTCAAGCAGGGTTGAGCGGTATGGCCTCGTAGTATGGACACCAGCAGCCTGCAAGCATCACAGCATTTCCTGGGATGCTGAAATGACTACAGTCCATTTTAACCGTGCATTGAAAAGTCCTCACCAGCATGACTACAAGGCTGGAAATCTGCAGATTCGTGGTAAGGGACGGATGATCAAGGTACAAGTATCTATTTATTGAGTACTGGCTGTTCTCTCCAGCTCCATTAACAACACTAAACAATGGCACTGCATTAACAAGACCCCAGTATTGAGAGCCAGCCGACAGTGCTGTTGGGAGAGTAATGGAATTGAACTTGACCAGTGCTGTGTTGACCTGGCGTCCCTTTCCTTCCCCGTTCAAAGGGCAATAATGATATTTACAATACATGGGACTCCCGCTGTAATAGCCCCGTGCACGCATTCCTTTGAGACCCCATGGGCCCGGTCACCAAGTCCCTTTGTTCACACGGTCAGTCAGCATAGAAAGGCTCTGGATCTCATGGAGAAACTCCTGCCCAATGCTGCCCTCTCCTGTTCGCCTTCAGCAGAACCAGGAACCAGCAGAGAAAAGCAGAGACCTCTATTTGTGCAGTGACAGGAGATTTCCTGCCAGAGGTGCTGGAACTAGGGGTGCTGGGGAGGGGAGCAGGCTGCCGCCTCCCCGTCTTGAAGTGGTTTCCATCATACACAGGGTTTACAGTTTGATTCAATGGCTCGCAGCACCCCCACTGTGCAAATTGTTCCAGCCCCCCTGTCATGCTCCTACCCTCTCTCCAGTACACCTGGACAGCAGTGGGTTTATTTAAAGATTCTACCCGGTGGGTACATACTGGGTATATATATATTTTTAAACCCATCTAAAATTGCTGTCTTCGGGCTTTATTTGCTCATTAGCTCAGTGGGCAATAGTATGATGCTGATGGAAAAATGTTAGCCCAGATTCCTTATTATCTGGCTCTGCCTGTAGCTCATTAACATGTTCCCTGCTGGGGAGCAGCACTCGTTTATCACTGCTTATTTATTTAAGGCTTCACAGCGTACACTGGTGCTAAATCGCCTTCTTTTTGAGAAGAAGGGAAATATTAACCCCAGAGCAAACAGTACAGTGCTATGCGGGGAATGGCAGACTGCAGGGCTGCCTGGGCATGTTCAGAGAGATGGGCACAGTAGGGGTGTGGGCACAGAGCCAGCCCTGAGAAGCTTGAGGTTGGGGGCATTCAGATCTGAATCCCTAAATTTCACCCTGACATCTGGATTTGGGGCTATGTTTTTGTGAGAGTCCGCCCCAGCCTTGTAGAACAATGTCCTGGCATTTTCCACTGTGGGTGGCTGTGTGTGTGTATCTGTGCTATATACAATCTGGTTTGCTTGCTCCTGTGTGTGGCAATGCCTTTCCCAAAGCCAACAACCAAGTTATCACACAAGGGTGCTGGGCCATCTTGCAGCATTGGCAATTTCTGCGCAAGAAGATGTTTATAGATGGTATACGTTCATTGTACAGAACAGAGCTGGCAGTCAGGACTCCTGGAAAGTGCTGTGATCTCTCTTTCAGGTTTGGCTCATAATGAGTTTGAAAAATCTGTGTCAGAACCACATTCTCTTGGGTCTCAGGCCCTGAGGTTTGAAAAGGGTATAGTTCAAACAAACCTGGTTTTCCCCGTAGTAGAAAACTCATTCCAAATCCCTACAGGCCATGCAAGGTTCAGGTGTGATGCTCAACAGGGCAGGGATTATATCTTCCTAGATGTCTGTATAGTGCCTTGAGGGCATTACCAGAAATGTAATAACGATATCTGGACTTGCACCCATTCATACAAGTTTTCTGGGTCACCTGAGTCAGCAGGATCTTTGGCTCTCATGCACCCACAGTACTCCCATCTCAGGAAAGCACGCTCCCTCTGGAAAGCTGGGCTGCAATCATTAGAATGTAAGCCAGATCTGGTATGATAATGAGACAGTGCCGAGAAACATAGAGGGGAAAATGCATTCGTTGCCCCCCTGGCTTTTTCACCTGGATCACGGTGCTAAAAGGCAGCCCCAGTCCAGCACAAGTAAGTGTGAATGGCTTTTGCTGGAAGATGAGCTGGGAATCTCATGAGATTCCCTGGGTATTTCAGACAGGCCGGCAATACTGCAGGAACAGTATTTCAGCACTTTCATTTCTGCTCACTTGGTGCAAAAACTGGCACGTTCCCCACTCAGGGGCTTCCAGCACACAACACTTTGCCCATTCGAGTTCCGCTGCACTTCATGGGTTTTGTGTTGAATTTTGCATTTGAATGAACCCAAAGATTCAAAGCCAAAGTTAGTCAGAATTGCCAGGTTTCCCCTGACACTATTAGTGTTTGTCAAAGTCATAAACTAGCCTAAGTTGGCTTGAAAATGAGACCATGATCACGTGAAGGCAGAGATAGGTCTGACCCACAGCATTCTGATCTAGAGCTAGAGTCTGGTGCTCTTCAAAGCTGCGGTTTGAGGCTTTTGAGAGTGTGCTGTTATGGAGATAGCGTCAGTAGGGAAGTTTAAATTTAAGCTTTACCAGAGTCCTGGGAGCCAGGGGTGCAGGTTAGCTTCAGTCCACTGTGGAGCTGGGACCTATCACAAGTTTAGATGCAAACGTCCACGGTTTGGATCTGTGGGTTCGGCTCGGCCCATTATAAAGACTGGGGTCAGCTGTGCAGCTGGACCCAGTATTTCGAAGTTCTGGATTGTGGAGCTCTGGAGTAATGGCTCTGAGCCTATATCTGCTCAAAATCTCTCTCTCTCTCTCTCTCTCTCTGAGTCATTCAGGCCAAAGGGCGAGCACAAGCATGAGAATGGCTCCGTAGCCTGGCGGGTAGAGCACTTGCCCAGGAGGTGGGAGACCCAGGGTCCAGGCCTGCTGCTCCAATGACTCTTCAGGTATTTGTTCACGGTGCAATGGCTTCAGCAGGAGAGACAGAGGGAGCTCCACCTCAGAATATCCGATAGCCTAGTGGTTAGAGCACTCATCACAGAGGTGGCACAGATCCCTTTGCAGGGGGGATTTGAACTTGGGATCTCCCACATCCCAGGTGAGTACCCTGACCCAGGGCTAAAAGCTAGGAGGGAGGTCCTTCTGCCTGCCCCACCCCCACCCTTGCTGTTTTGTGTGAACTTGCCTGAGGGGCCCCATCTGGTGGTGGCCTCTGAGGACACTCACCGGATTGGGCCCTGCATGCGCCTTAGGTGGCTGAGTGCCTGTCTTCCCCATTTAGTGAATTGCTCGGGGGCTGAGGCAAAGGCAGGTGCCCAGGCACCTAGAGGGAGGCAGCGGTTCACGGGCCCAGTGGCAGAAACACAGCCAGCGAGGGAATGTCTACTGCAAAAACGCAGGCACTGAGCGAGTTTAGGTACCTGCAGTGGGAGATGTGTGCATCGCGGTGGTCTCAGAACAGGAACTTAGTCGCCTCACTCCTTCTGTGCCCTCCGACCTGCCCTCAGTCACACAGGGAGTCTGGGACAGAGCAGGGAACTGCGCCTGGCTCCTAGACTAGTCCTCAAGCCACTGCGACATCCTTCTTCTAGTCATGTACACCTTGAACCCGCAAGAGTAACCTGGGTATTTCACATGTCTGCCCTTGTGTTCCAGGTTTGCAGCTGGAGAAGCCAAGCAGAGTTGCACAGAGGATGACAAGGAACAGTTGCAATTGAAAGACATCAGAGATGGATTCAGCTCTACCTTTGAAAAAATTGTGGAGTCCGACCTTATGAAGGGCACGTACTACAGCAGCTTGGACTCCCTGGATGTGCTCTCCCTCACAGATGAGACAGACAGCTGTGTCAGTTTCGAGGCTCCGCTCACACCGCTGATTCAGCAACGGGTCAAGGAAAGCCCAGAACTTTTAGAACAGAAACTGGTTGCCCAGCAGAAAGGAGCCCTGCAACACATGGCAGCAGATAAGCAAGAGCAGGCAGCTGCAAAGCCAGCGGAGGAGGATTTGGGGAGCCCTCTGAGGCACTCGATTACCAGCAGCAGGTCAGAGAATGTGCTCAGCCGGTTATCCATGAAAAATATCCCTAATGGATTCCACGTCGATGGAGCTGAGGAAGACGCCTTGAAGCTTATTAACTCCATCAGGTAAGGCAGACTGTGAGTTCTGAGGCCGGGAGTGTCTTTTTTGTTCTGTGTTTGTACAGCACCTAGCACAGTAGGGGCCCACAGACCTAACTGGAGCTCCTGGACATTACAGATTATTAGCAGTATGCTAGCATTCTCCTTTGTGCTTCCCTGTGTACATGCCACAACAACGTACAATCAGTATTCATCAGGAGGTGACACCTGTCATCCTTATCTCTCTTATAGTAGGACCCTGGCCCAGGATCAGGGCTAGGTATATACAGACTATTTTCCATATGACCACTGTGTCCTTGGCGAGCATGATGGATGCTGCAATCCAAAGGGGAAAGTCACTTACAAGAGGAATAGCCATAACACAAGGAAATGGGGTCAGTCTGAATTATAGATGCTGATGCTGTGTAACGCTGCCGACGTAGGAAGCTAAGTCCTGCAAGCGTAGGGAGCGACATTATTCTTCCATTCACCAGGGGGCAGGGTGGAGGAATCACACCCCAGCGCATGGTTTGGTGAGTTTCTGAGCTTTCACCTTTGGAGACAGAGGGTAAAATGTGCCTATTCAGCTGCTGGACGTCCATTGTCTCCAGTGGGAACGCAGCCTGCAGAGCAGCTGCAGAATGGGGCCCTCCAGTATAGGCCTGCAGCTCGCATTGAAGTCAGTGCGACTGTGCACTGTGTACCATTGGCAGGATTTGGCCCTTCAGCCAAATCACGATTTCTTCACTGTGTATTGAGTCAGTCCTTACTCAGGTAAACCTGTGACTGACTTCATGAGGTTTGCCCATGTAATGACTGAGCATCCACTGCATAGGGACATAGTTTGCCCTTACGCTGACATCCCCTGGTTGGCCAAGGAGCACAAGACCAGAGATGGGAGACATAGGTCACCGCTGTGCTACCCAGATTCTGTGTCCTCTAAGTGCCAGTCTGACCCCTGGCACACATTATGGCTCCCACATTAAGGCATTAAGTCATTAAGGCACCCACAGATTATTCAGATGCCCTGAAGCAACCAGGAGGGGAGCGTCACAGGAGCCACTATGGTGGTTCTGTGCCACCCTGGATTCCCTTAGAAAGGGAAGCCTCAAGTGGCCTGATCTGCCAGCTTCAGGGCTGCTTTGCACGGCCAGCGTAGTCAAAAGCAGTTGTAGCGCTCCTTGAAACTGGGGCCTTCGACTTTAAAGCTTCTCAGAAATGAGAACGCAAATGAATACAGGTAAACCCCCCATCTGAGCTGCTGTGTTTCATCAGCGCTTTATGCTTCGTTTCACCTCTTCTTCCATTTGTGCTTCCTACATATGGCTGTTCTGGGAGTTCAGTCCTGGATCAGGACTTTCTGCACTTGCCTCCTCTTGTATGGACTCATTTACAAAGGGGCATTTGTTTGGCTTGTTCGACACCTGCTTTGCCAGCTCTCCTCTTTGTCTGCCAATTGTGTTCCTATTATGGATTTTGGGGGTGATTTTATTATTGCAAAGGGCTATGGGCCATGGGATCAGCCATCTATCTACTCAACACCCAGTCATTTATTTGTGTGGCTTATACAACCTCTGTCTTCGACTGCAGGCACATATACAATTAGTACTTAGAACACATTGCAAGTTGGCATACATAATGCCAACTAAAAGGCTAAAACATTCTCCCACCCACTGAACTTAACCCCACCCTATTACCCCCAGCTGCAGACGCTGGACTTAGAGCGAGAATGGAATAATACTGGCTCTTATTTGAGTCACAAGTGGAAACGAGTCTGAAGGTGTCCTCCCAGCCCCCGTCTGTGTGCATTACAAACCTGCCATATACTGGGCATGGTTCAGCCCCAAACAAGCCTGCCGGGCATGGTCATGGTGCATTGACTGACCTTTATGGGGCCGGGACTGGAGAGGGAGTCTAGAGACTGGCAGAGCTGGGGGAGGCGACAGAAGCGGGACAAGAGTTTCAGAACAGTATTGACATGTATGGGGGTGAGCAAGTCTCTCTAAAATTGTTTAGGTGCCCATTACCCACTTAAGCACCCTGGCTTTGCCCTTAGTCCATTGTCTTCTGCTGCCCTGGTGCCCTAGAGGGAGAGGTGGAGTCATTACAGTTTATAGCCCCTTTTCCCTTTCGATTGCTGGGGCCAGCTCAGCACAACCAGCCCCTCACTTCAGATGCAGTTGCTTCCAGAACAAGGGCTGATCTGTGCAAGCAGACTCACCAGGACAGCTGAGCCAGTGAATGGAATTTGCAAAGCAGCAGAGATTAGCGAGTTAGCTTCAGACTGACGCGCTGAGTGAGTTGTGTCCGGATCAAAGCAGATCACTCGGTGCCATTAAGAGAGTGAATGAAAAAGTAGCAGTGACGAAAATATCCCCAGAAAAGCAAACACCCACCCTGCCGTGTAAGCACTTCAGGTTAGAGCTGAATCCCCGCCGGAGCAGAGAGGCAGAAAATACAACAAGACAAGACTCTCTGGCAAAGCCCTTCACCAGCAAGTGATGCACACGCTGCATGCACAAAACTTCCTTCGCTACACAATAAGGCAACATGGGATAGTTGTCGTTGGCTGGTGAGGTGAACATCTCAAAGGGAAATCTGGAGCAGGTTTGGATGTGCCATAAAATAAGTTCAGTTAATTACAAGGGTCCCCACTGAAACAGGCTTTACCAACCCTGTGTAAACAGGCTGGCCCAGAGGGTGGACTGGGGCAAACCAAGAGAAGGCCACAGAGTCCACATTTCCATGGGTCCAGTGATCCTGCCATCGGGGGCAAGTGGTGTAGAATGATATGGCCACTGCTGGGGGTGTATTAGCCACTGGCTGGGGAAGAGGATGGTGCTGAGATGTAGTCCTGCACCTTAACCTTGGTTCGACGGGTGAAACTCACCTTCCCAACCTTCTCCCCACACAACCCCTTCTGTCACACAAAGCCCAGGACCTTGGGCTTTATGCAGATGAATTGCATTTCACCCTCAGAAAATAATTTTGGACTTGAAGGTGATTCATCTCCAGTATTTGGTTTTGGAATGTTCAGGTTAAGGGAGTATTTGTACTGAGACTCAAATACAGAGCCCAGTCATAAAGAGATTATTCCCCAGCAGACGCACGTCTATTACAGCTGGATTACTTCGTGGGATAAACAGCATAGTCGATTACTTGATCCTACTTTGATTCATTATGAAATATATTCAAAAGCCAAATAACTAATGTCAGTCAGGTTTATTGCTCTAAGACAATAACAATATAGTACAGGAGAAAGGTTCAATATGATACCAGTCTCTGGGAAGCCATCTTGTGCTGCAATGTTACATTCACCTTACGCAGAAGGTGCGCTCCCAAAGTTACACATTTCAGATGGTAGTCTTTGTAGGATGAGTTTACAAATTACACATCTATTTATGTGTCACTGAAATCCAACCCACCACTTTGTCCCAGTTCCTTAATTTGTTTTCTGTTCCTTCCTTATCTTTGTTTCGGATAGCAGCATTGCAGGTACTGGTCTGTGAAGGTTCTTACTTAGCTTTTGCTAAGACATAGAATGAATGTATCTTGATTTTGACAAGGTTTGTATCGGCGTATGCCAAATCTTACTTCAGTGAATGCAAGGAATTATGGGATTTTTAGCATAAGGAGCAGGGTTATATAAAAAGCATAGGCCAATTTAGGTTATACAGCTACTATAATATTTATGTTTAATGCTATTTGTGCTTAATTCATACTAATATATGTATGGTGCAGATAATACATATTGGTAATGTGAGATTTATAGATAGATAGATAGATAGATATGCTAGCCCAGCATATATTAATCACCTCCTTCCCAGCTCTTACAGTGGTAAGGGTCTTATGAGTATATAGATACAAGGAAGAGAGCAGGGGCAGCTCAGGACCATCAGCATGGGACTGTTGATTAAAACACCTCCCACGGTGAGGCTTATCATAGATGGTGCACAGTCGGTGGGGATTCATGAATGCAGGCAGCATAAACAATTGCTGTTGTCACAGTCTACAATAGGGAAGAGATTTCTGATAGTAAACAGCTCTAATCTAGCAGAAAAATTCATAATGAGATTCAGTGATTAGAAAGAGAAGACAGACAAATTCAGACCAGAAATAAGGGTTCAATTTTTCATGTAATTAACCATTGGAACAACTTACCTAGTGATGGGTTGGATTCTCCGTCATTTGACGTCTTTAAATCAATATTGAATATCTTTCTAAAAAGATCCACTAAAGCTCAAAGAGATGTCATGGGCGTGATGGAGAAATTATTGGGTGAATTTTTTTGGCCTGTTATTATGCAAGTGGTCAGATTAGATGTTCATAATGGCCAGATGTTCTAAACTTAAAATCTATGTATCTATGAATCATTTCGAAGTGGAGAGGGTGATGAATGAGCAAAGGGTTTGGAGTGAGGTATGCAGACTTCATCTCTAGCCTACTGACTTAAATGCAGCCCAAGCCATTAGTGAAGTCATCTTGTTACGCTGACTGCTGTTATGTGTTTTAGCAGAGCTGACTGGGAATTTTTTGACTAACTATTTTTAATCAAAAAATGTCAATTCATCAAGGCCAAAATTTCCCATGGGAACTTGGATGAATATTTTGTTTAGAAAAAATTTGAAAATAAATGTGTGGAAAAATCTCAAAATGTTCCATTTTGACATTTTCAAAAGAAAACATTTCATTTTTTTCTGTTTGAAATGATTTTCATTTAGAACTTTGTTATTTTATGTTAAAAAATAAAGGTCAACATCAAAACAAAATGTCTTGAATTTATGTTTTTGATTGCCCGAAAATTATTTTTTTTCCTCTCTCTTTTTGGATTTTCAGTTCACAAAAAAATTTCAGTTTTTTTTGTTTGGTTGGTTGGTTTTTTGTTTTTTGTGGTGTTTTTTTTTTTTTTCCTTATTTGTCCCAATTCCAGACAATAAAAAAATTCAAAAGCTCAAAAAATGTCATGAGGTGGGAAATCTGTTTTCCAACAACGCTGTGCCTTAATGTGAAATGAGCTGACGGGCCTCAGTCCAGTTCCCAGTGGACAGATGTCCACATCTCGCAGCCCACTGCCTCCGTTAGCACCAACCAGCCCCTTACTGGCCATCTCAGCAGTGAGGCCAAAGGGGGTAGAGGCTGAACTCCCCTCTCACATGCTGAAGCACACTGGTCGGCATTGTTGGGTACACTTGTACTGACTATCGCTCATGCTGGACCTGTTCTCTGGACAGGAGACTTCAATCCCCAGGGCTATCAATCCAGCACCTTTCACCCAGTACTGAATTCACTTTAGAGAGACACCCGAAGTACTTCTCCAAACAGGAGATGAATGAAGGTGAAGGGAATGGTGGCTGGATGGTTGCAAATGGTATCTTAACCATTTCACCCAACCCAAGGCTAAACACTGATTAAGATGCTTAGAAAACACCTGACTTGCATGAAGTACTGCAGCTAGTCTGCGGCTTGAATGACATGGAATAGACCAACGGAGCTATGAGGTTCATTGACTGGTTGGTCCCCAGATGGGGAGCTCAGAGGTTTTCCAACTTTGCAAATGCTGAGACTGATAAAGGAAACATCATACCCAGGTCTGATCAAACAGCCTTTGGATTTCTGACAAAGCTTGCAGCCCACTGAGGCAAGGTGCTTGTGTTTCTTTAAAAACACGTTAATGACAGAGTGGTTTGGGATTTGGTATGAGGCTTGTATTGTCCAAAGCTCTGGGCTTTCCAGAAAATACCACATCTGTTTCTTTAATTGTTTTCTGTTCACCATTCAGCGATGCCAGCTTAAAAGACGCTCTTTCTGACTCGGACTCTGAAATGGGCAGCACCGAACAGCTTGACCATGGCAGCACAGACACGTTAGCAAATGGCTGCAAGGCAGACAGTGACGCTGCCAAGAGACTGGCCAAGCGCCTCTATCACCTTGAAGGATTCAAGCGCTGTGATGTGGCACGCCAGCTTGGGAAAAAGTAAGTGGCTCTTTCCATCATGACTAGGTCACAAGGCAAGTGTTAGAGGATATGGATCTGGGGAGAAGTCTACTGAGAAGATCTGACTTGCAATGCTGAGCTCAAAGCCGGCATGAAAGTGGCCCTACCATATGGGACAAAAGTGAACACTGGCTTCACTGGGGGAAATGGAACAGGGCAAAAGCAGAAGTGACTTCTTAAATGAAAGATCTGCTGTTCCAGGGAACTCTTGGGCTTGCTTCAGAGTCAGGTTCAATTACGAGCATTGGGATCTTTCTGGATGATAAGTGCTGTGTGAAATTGACATGGGCCCAACCCACACACCTAGATCCAAACACTCCTGAACTTTGGGAATGTTTAGAGAGTGGACCAGGATCATGATCTCAATTTCACAGATGATCACAGACGAACAAATTCTTATTCTGACTTTATAATAGGTCCAAACAAGACCCCTGAAATTAACACCCCCAGAATCTGAGGGGTTTGAGATCCAGATCTGTACTTTTTGATTAGGACCCATTTCTGACATAACATACCCTGAAATCTCACGTAAGCCACCACTCAGGGGACTTTTCTTAGAAGAGGTGGTTGTTGGGGAGAAGCCCAATAAAACTCTTATCACTGTTTTTTTTTTGAATGCCTCCAATGAGCTCAGTCATATACAAATCAGGGACTCAGTTGTCTCTCCAAGAAAATGAACAGCAGGTGTCACTGCTAAAGCTACAAAGGGACAATCTCTCCTATCGCTGCACAGTTCAACACCATGTCAGTTTCGATCTCCCTGGGTGATTCCAGTAAAGGTTAGTTCTCAGGCTGTTTCCCCTTGCTGTTCTTTTGAGCCTGGCTGATGTTTTCTTTCCTTGTTCTGTATATTTGTGAGGTTTATGCCTGTTACGTCCAATGGGGGTTGCATACAGGGGAAAGAGGAGGATCCTGGCCCTGAGAGTAAGCACCCCACATTCTCCTTTCCATCTGATATCTGACACCAGCTCAGGGGCAGCTTACGTTAAAAGCGCCACAGTCACTCACAGGCTCCACTACAATTAGAATATTAGGCCTGCAGCCCTAACATGTACAGCGCCTGCTGAAATGAACAGGAGTGCTGGACAGAGAAGGATCAGACCAGTTTGTATCATCTAGTACCTGCAGCCCCTCTTCTGCCTGTCACCCCATGCATGAAAGGGCAAGAACAAACACCAACGTAGCTTAGGCTGCCCCATCTCAGGTGACAACCAGGGGACCTACTGGAGGGCATTCTGGACACCGATTGAGAATGCTGCTTGCATTCCTGCCATGAAATAAGAATACAGAGGCCCCAGCAGAGTGTTTTCACAAAGCCACTCAGACAATAACGGAGCATACACAAAGAGGTGACAACTACTCTACTGCACCATGAGCCATCAGCTGCCCTGGGCTGGGCTGGTGAGACTCCATGGCCACACCCTTCGAACCTGGACTGGATGTGGCAACGTGACCTTCTCCCCTGGCATGTAAGTAGTTTTACTGCACTTTGTTACTTACTCTTAAGAGGGAATCTCTTTGAATTCACAGTAGAGGGGCAAAGTTGAGCTTGGAGAATAACCCAATTGGTTATGTAGAATATTGTGGCTTGAGAATGGATCTTAAACCAGTGCAGTATGTATCCACTTCTAACCCTGTGCCAATACTCAGGGGAGAAATATTTGAAAGAGTCAGAACTCCTGGGTTCTGCTCCTGGCTCTGGAATAAGAATATTAGTGACTACAACAATCTAAGAAGCTGTATTAGTTGCTGCTCCTTCACAAGAGAAGAAATCTTTGGAGGGGGGAGAAAACACCAGGCAGATGTTAGATATTGGCCCTATGGGATTTTCGGCTTGGCCAGGCCCACTAGCCCAGGGAACTCTCACACCCCTTGATTGGGAGTCTTATTGCTTTCCAGACAATGGTTCCCCTGTGCTGTGTAAATTATACTATGAACTCATATAGGGCCTGGAGTCTCTATACCCTAGGTATGCCCTGGTTGGTATCGATTTAGGACCTGATCCAGTGCCCATGGAAAGCAATGGAAAGATTCCCATTGATTCCCAATCAGTCTGTAATCTGATCCTTAATCTTCCCTGAGGGAGTCATAATTGTCAGTGAAACCTGTTTGCTAATTAACATGGTTTTTGTTTCCTTGCAGGGGCTGGGTGCCTTCGGCTGCCCCTTTTATGCATGGATGGAGATCCATTGCAATAGATCCTCCTACTCCAGCCAGGCACAGAGGTGGCAAGCGATGCAAACAACCAGAAGGGAGGAATGGGGATGTTTAACTTGTGCGATGCTGCGGAAGCTGGGATCTTCCAAGGGACTGGAGTGAATAGTCTCTGGGTTTAATGAAGAGGGGCTGATGCAGGGCTTTCCCAGTGATGGGTGTCCTGGGCTCTTGAATGTGTGTCCTGCCTTGATTCATCCAAAGCCAGATCTGACGACCCAAAGGACACGCTCCACGACCTGCATCCTCTCCCAGGGAAGGGAAAGGGAGTGGGATATGGCAGGAATGACTCTGCAAGAGTTGTGGTTTTTGTTAGAAATCTCTCTGATCTATTTTGAAGAGCTGTTTCTAATGTATGTAATGTGTGTATTGTGCCTGCAGCACGGGATCCGCAACGTTGTACATTCAAATTAAATACAAATGCCAGTAAAATCAAGTGCCACTTGCTTTATGGTGGGGCTCTGTCACATCTTGTAAGCGAGGCAAGATCAAGCCACAGCAACGTGTGGATGGGAGCAGTGCTTAATTTGTAATGAAAGAGGTGCTGGGGCGCAAGCAATTTTTTACATTGATGCAGCGAGCCCAGAGGTGCCACGGCTCAGCCCTGGGAAGCCCTGGCACACATTACGCACTGGATGGGAGACCTCCACGGAAATCTCAGGCACTGTAGGCAGTGGAGCTGGAGATGCAACTGGGCGGCTCTCTTCCCTCTAACTTAATGCTGAGCCAATTCCCCAGGGTGAGGCTCAGAAATGTTGCTACACTGGCGCGGCCGCCCTTTGTTTGACGTGGAAAGCCAAGGTCCTAACCAGCTGTGGCCGCTAATGTCTCCAAAGCTCTCATTACAAAAAATAAAAGTTAAAGTCCAGTTCAGATTCCAAAGCCATCCAAACAAACAAAAACACAGCAGATCCAGCAAGTTGCCCACATGGATAAACCAACAATTCCGTGACCCTGGCCTCAGATCCTGCCAAGGAACCGTTAGCCCTGCTTGCCTTCAGTTATTAAGTCCATGAGATTCCATCAGGAGTAGAAAGCTCTGCTTTTGGATCCACTTGCAGGATTGGGGCCTTAAGCATAACCCTTGTTCTCCCTTTCCTCTTATCCGTCTTTTGTCTGTAGTTATCTCTGAGGTTTATGTCTAAACTTGTAAGGGCTTTGGGGCAGTGATGTCCTCTATTGCTTGAAATTCCTTGCAAACTTTGGACTTATAAAAATAATACCATCATTCATTATTTGTATTAAGTAGCACTACAAGGCCCCTTTGTGCTAATGCAGATGTTAGCCCAATGTCCTGGACAAATTCCAATGTAGATCATTACATTCTGCCTCCCTAAATTAACCCTGCAATTTTCACTGCAGGCATTCTTCTCTTGCTGACCTCAGCCGTTGTGTTATGTTGTTGAACAGTGTTTCGCTCCAGACGCAGCAGCATTACAATGATGGATGAATGATCCCTGTGTGGCTGGCATATCAGTTTGTAAACTGCTTTGAGATCCTTTGAGATGAAAGGTGCTATACCAGTGTAGGATAATTAGCGTGAAGCATCACATTTTTCATGAGACTGAAAAAGGACGTCATTATATGAATTACTGGTGCTCCAAAGGGCATATGCTGTTAAGCTGAGATAATTACCCATTTCTCGCAAACATCCATCAATTATTCTTTCATTAATTTTTGGTATTAATATCAAATATTAACGGAGGTCTCACTCGGCTACAGCGTCACAGGCAAAGAGCAAACAAGCCACACTGAGAGTTCTGAACGAGGGCTGGGTATCTCTGCAGCCACAGGAAATGCCCTGGTTTTTATACAAAACTCCTTTGCCAGGATTTTCAAAACTGGAGGTGTGAAGTTAGGCCCTTGAGCCCACAGTTAGGTGCCTAAATAAGTTGCCTGATTTTCAGAAGTCTACCAGCAGTTACCACTCAGCTCGGGATCAGGGCTGAAGATCATGGCAACTGACCAGCACTTTTGAAAGATCAGGTCACTTATTTTGGTGCCTGAATACAGGGTGAGATTCTCTGCTGCCCCAAGGTGCGTGGGGAAAGGTAGCTTTCAGCTTCTGACACCTTCCTACCGCCTGATTCGAGGCTGCTCCTTCTTCTTAGCGTATGCATAAAGTGCCTCAGGTGGCACATGACCAGGATTCAGCACCGAATTTGGTCCGCTGGTTGGATCGTTAGCTTACCCAGCCCAGGTGATGTGAACGCTGATCCATGCCCTCCTTTGAGGCTTCAGAATGCTATGCCCCTCCCCTTCCTGTCTGCAACACCTGTCAGCTCCGCCCCAGAACACCCCGTACACTGTGGGTCACCTACAGCAGCCCAATGTGTTGCCTGCATGGTGGAAATCTCCCCTGGCCCTCAGCATTCGTTTATGGCCCCCATACACCACTCACACAGGGAGGAAGGGTCTGTCTACACTGCACTCAGTGGGGTGACTGCAGCACAGGTTGAAATAGCCGAGATCCAATGAGAATAGCAGTGGAGCCATGGGAATGAGGGATGTCCAAGCCCACCTGGGATCCTGGCTATGTACTTGAATGGCTAACCCACGCTGCCACCACTTCATGGCTATTGTTATTGGAGCTAGGCTAGATCAAATCTAGCTGGGCTGTCTCTACACATGCAGCAATCAGATCTCTGAGTGTAGTGTAGACAGAGCGTTAGGAGCCTGATTCTAGGCAGCCCAGGTGTAAAATTAGCCCCCGATGTTCTGCTGAACATCTTATGCCGATGTTCCATAGCCCGTGGCGTGACATGGCTTTTTAGGAAATAGATTGTGGTCCACACGTGCTGGCTACATTGTACATAATGGCTCTGCAGATCATTTTAAAATTCATATGAAATGCAATGACACTAGCAAACAGTGGATGAGTTAATCAGACATAAAAGGCGTTTTCAAAATATGCCTTTTGCTACTGTGTGGCGTTCCTTTTCCTCCTCCGTCCCCGACCGAAATGTCTTTCATAGGCAAGCCCTGGAGATGGAACACTATATTCAACTGCAATTGCCTCTTTGACAATCTTCTAGATGCTTTACAGCACAGGGAGGAACATGCTTTATAGTCAGAAGAAAATGGAGCCTCTAAAAGTGACACAATGGGATCTCCTGATTATTCTCACTCAGTGCCTCCCTTGTCAATTTGGCTTGGTTTTCAAGTTAAAATACGTGGTTTCTGTCAAGCCATGTCCCTCCCAGTCGCACAGCATTAAGCCATGAAGAGAGTTCAGTAGCAGGCTGTCAGGAGCTGTGTCAGGAGCATATCGGTGCCAGGAGCTTTCAGGCACCTGAAAAGTGCATTAATATCTTACGAACACAGTGGCTCACTGCAGTCAGAGTATGGATCATTGATGTCACAGTGCATCTTGGCCTATACAAATCTTTAACAGCAGCTTTGTGGGGGCCGTTTGCACTGTCTCCTTCCATTCTGAAGTGTAGTTCCTATAAAAGGATGAGAGATGATAAAGAGTAAGTGACAGATGGGATTAAATCGGTGGGCCCAGATAATCTTCATCCAAGAATATTAAAGGAATTGGCACATGAAATTGCAAGCCCATTAGCAAGAATTTTTAATGAATCTGTAAACTCAGGGGTTGTACTGTATGACTGGAGAATTGCTAACATATTTCCTATTTTTAAGAAACGGAAAAAAAGTGATCCGGGTAACTACAGGCCTGTTAGTTTGACATCTGTAGTATGCAAGGTCTTGGAAAAAATTTTGAAGGAGAAAGTAATTAAGTTTCAGAGTAACAGCCGTGTTAGTCTGTATTCGCAAAAAGAAAAGGAGTACTTGTGGCACCTTAGAGACTAACCAATTTATTTGAGCATGAGCTTTCGTGAGCTACAGCTCACTTCATCGGATGCTCATGCTCAAATAAATTGGTTAGTCTCTAAGGTGCCACAAGTACTCCTTTTCTTTTTGAAAGTAGTTAAGGACATTGAGGTCAATGGTAAATGGGACAAAATACAACATGGTTTTACAAAAGGTAGATCATGCCAAACCAACCTGATCTCCTTCTTTGAGAAAGTAACAGAGTTTTTAGACAAAGGAAACACAGTGGATCTAATTTACCTAGATTTCAGTAAGGCATTTGATACTGTGCCACCTGGGGAATTATTAGTTAAATTGGAAAAGATGGGGATCAATATGAAAATTGAAAGATGGCTAAGGAATTGGTTAAAAGGGAGATTACAGCAGATTATACTGAAAGGTGAACTGTCAGGCTGGAGGGAGGTTACCAGTGGAGTTCCTCAGGGATCAGTTTTGGGACCAATCTTATTTACTCTTTTTATTACTGACCTCGGCACAAAAAGTGGGAGTGTGCTAATAAAGTTTGCGGATGATACAAAGCTGGGAGGTATTGCCAATTTAGAGAAGGACCGGGATACCATACAGGAACATCTGGATGACCTTGTAAACTGGAGTAATAGTAATAGGATGAAATTTAATAGTGAGAAGTGTAAGGTCATGCATTTAGGGATTAATAACAAGAATTTTAGTTATAAGCTAGAGACGTATCAATTAGAAGTAACGCAGGAGGAGGAGAAGGACCTTGGAGTATTGGTTGACCACAGGATGACTATGAGCTGCCAATGTGATATGGCCGTGAAAAAAGCTAATGCGGTCTTGGGATGCATCAGGAGAGGTATTTCCAGTAGAGATCATAGAATCATAGAATATCAGGGTTGGAAGGGACCTCAGGAGGTCATCCAGTCCAACCCTCTGTTCAAAGCAGGACCAATCCCCAGCTAAGATAAAGATGGGCCAATAAGGATAGGAGATAAGGAGGTGTTAGTACCTTTATACAAGGCACTGGTAAGACCTCACTTGGAATACTGTGTGCAGTTCTGGTCTCCCATGTTTAAGAAGGATGAATTCATACCGGAACAGGTACAGAGAATGGCCACTAGGATGATCCGAGGAATGGAAAACCTGTCTTATGAAGGGCGACTCAAAAAGCTTGGCTTGTTTAGCCTAACCAAAAGAAGGTTGAGAGGAGATATAATTGCTCTCTATAAATATATATGAGGGATAAATATCAGAGAGGGAGAGGAATTATTTAAGCTCAGTACCAATGTGGACACAAGAACAAATGGATATAAACTGGCCATCGGGAAGTTTAGACTTGAAATTAGACAAAGGTTTCTAACCATCAGAGGAGTGAAGTTCTGGAATAGCCTTCCAAGGGAAGCAGTGGGGGCAAAAGACCTATCTGGCTTCAAGATTAAACTCGATAAGTTTATGGAGGAGATGGTATGATGGGATAACATGATTTTGGCAATTAATTGATCTTTAAATATCCATGGTAAAGAGGCCCAATGGCCTGTGATGGGATGTTAGATGGGGTGGGATCTGAGTTACTACAGAGAATTCTTTCCTGGGTATCTGGCTGGTGAATCTTGCCCATATGCTCAGGGTTCAGCTGATTGCCATATTTGGGTTCGGGAAGGAATTTTCCTCCAGGGCAGATTGGAAGAGGCCCTGGGGGGTTTTCTTCTTCCTCTGTAGCATGGGGCATGGGTCACTTGCTGGAGGATTCTCTGCATGTTGAAGTCTTTAAACCATGAGCTGAGGACTTCAATAGCTCAGACATAGGTGAGAGGTTTATCACAGGAGTGGGTGGGTGAGATTCTGTGGCCTGCTTTTTGCAGGAGGTCAGACTAGATGATCATAATGGTCCCTTCTGACCTTAATATCTATCTATATCTATGAAAGATGCTTTTCCTCTGTCGTTTGGAGCAGAGAGGATTTGTGGCTTGATATCTATTACAACCTGCTCTTTTTGATGGCTCCCAGAGTTTCATTTGGGTTCCTTCCCCTCAAACCCAACTTCAGAAGCTCTTCGGCCTGTCAGCAGCAATGTGTGGCCCAGCACTAGCAGCCAGAGTTAACAAAAGGAGCTCTACCTGTTTAGCTTACCAAAAAGAAGACCAAGTGGTGACTTGATTACAGTGTATAAGAACCTTTACTGGAAGAAAACACTGGGTACTAAAAGATTCCTTAATCTCGTGGAGAAAGGTACAAGGAAGACCAATGGCTGGAAGTTAAAGCCAGACAAATTAAACTGAGAAAGTTATCTAATTTAATAGTAAGAGTGATTAACCACTGGAACACATGACCAACTGAAGTGGTGGATTCTCCATCTCTTGACACCTTCAGAGCCAGACTGGATGCTTTTCTGGAAGAGATGCCTTGCCCTCATGCAGACCAACATTGTCTCATTGTTTCCTTGTATGCCCCCATGGGCCCATCTTTATCCATCTCTTGTTTCCTGTCTTATACTTAGACTGGACACTCTTTGGAGTAAGGACTGTCTTTTTGTTCTGACTGGACAGCGCCAGCACAGTGGGGTTCTGGTCTGTGATGACTAGGGTTCCTAGGCATTATGGTCATACAGATAGTAAATAATACAAATAATGATAGACACAAGAGATTGGGTTCAGTACAGGAGTAACTAGATGAAATTCTCTGGCCTGTGTTTTACAGAAGGTCAATTTTATGGTCCCTTCTGGCCTTCAGATCTATAAATCTATGAACTTACCTTCTCCATAAAGATTAAAACATGGCCTAGAGAATCGTTGCAGGTGAAAATTCCTATGATCTCCAAGTAGTGTTATAGATGGCCAGGGCCAGAGGTGCAGCTGAGATGCCACCTCGGGCGAGAGGACCATTCCAAAACCCATGTTCTCCTTCAGCCCCCTCCTCACTCTTCCCCTCCCCCGGCCTCTCTTCTCACACACTCCATCCCCAAAGGGGGGGGCCTTGTTGTCTTTCCCTGCTCCCTGCCCACCATTTCCTTCCATCCCTGACACGTAATAAGTGTTTCAGTGAGCTGGTCCCCGCTGTGTATTAGGGAGAGTTACTCCATCACTATGACATCATCAAAACAGTTCAACAAGTCTAATCCACTTGCTTTGTCTAAATCATTGTCTATGTCTCCCTCTAGTGGCTGGACCCAGCAAAGACCCTGCTTCTTACTGTACTACCTATAGCTGAATGACTCCTCCCGCTCAAATGGCAAGAACTTGTGCTGGGGGCCCTAGATTCAATGCTCACCATTGACTGTTTTGTCTCTGTGTAGGCAACCAGGGTTCACAACACAGGCAATAAAGGGGCAGATTTTTAAAGGCAACTGGTGGAGTTAGGCCTCAAACTCCATTTTCACAGGCACAAAAGGCTGCTAGGTGCTCAACTCTCATGAAACACCCATTGAGGGTCACTGAATTGCCCTTTGTGCCTGTGAAAATCTCCCCCAAGGATTAAAGGCGGGGGATTTTAGAATCTCTGCAAGTACCTGCTGGAAGTTGGGTTGGCCAGGAGAAGAGACTGTGTGATTCCTGTTATAAAGAGAGTGTTCTTCCCCTATGGGTCAGCTGATTGCTCCCTCTTTAATTACAGCAATGAATTTAGCAAGTTGGTAGCAGAAGAATATCTCAGTTTCTTTGACTTCACTGGGCTCACCCTGGACAAAGCACTCAGGTGAGCCTCTCTGTTTTCATTAAAGACCTACCCCATGACGAATTGATCTAGAAGCCCAGTGTTTCCAATTTGCCATGTAGTATCATTATTTGCCATTTAGTGCAGCCCCGCTTATGCGCTTAAGGTTTGACGACTGACTGTGTGTATAATGACAGCTGGAGGCTGACAGATGTGTTGGTGTAACAGGAATCCCAGCTGTGGTTAAATATTGACTGTGATCTAATGATCGGCACAATATGCTCCCACTGGAAACGGGGTCTGAGCTGCACGAGTCTCAGTTGGCCAGAGCTTGAAGGGGTTTGGGCCTGAGGTTCTAGTTAGGACCCATCTCTCTGTGGAAAACACCAAATTAAAGTAACGCCCAGTTGACTGTGAGGCAAACCCAGCCCCAGCTGTACAACCCCAGCTGGCACCATTCTCCTGTGCAAGAGACAGGGCTGGATTTAGGGAGCTGAGCTGGCACAGAGCCCAGCATGCAGGATATTAGTGGGAACAGGCCATCGCGGGCAGGGCAGGCAAGAATTTGCCCTTCTCCAAGTGAGGTCACACAGAAGCACACAGGCCAGGGGGTTGAGCTAGAGTACACAGAGCAGCTCCCCAGCTGCTCCATAACCTTGCAGAAAGGCTGTTGCCCCTTTGCTCCCCGCACAGCTCAGGTGAGGCCCTGGGCTGTGGATTTCCATTGAGACCTGTAAGCTGAAATGTCCTTTTCTATTTGCAGAACGTTCTTGAAAGCGTTCCCTCTGATGGGAGAGACTCAGGAACGGGAGCGCGTGCTTATCCACTTCTCCCGGAGATACTGCCAGTGCAACCCAGAAGAGAGCACGTCGGAAGGTACCTCCCCGCCTCCTCTCAGACACCTCACCCTCCCTGACAGTGCTGACTATGCGTGTGCACCAGCTGGTCTGCTATACAACCAAGAGCAGAGATCCTAAAGCGCAGCCTAGGGTCTGCTGGTAACCTGGAGGCCACTTGCTGGTAATCTGCAAAGAGCTGGCTAGTGCTGACTCAGACAGTGTGAGCAACTCCTTCCTGAAGGACAAAGCAGGGTCGCACTTCAGGGAGGGGAACATCTATAAATAGTCCATAGCTAATAATTGATTAATGGATGTGACATGCAGGAGTAATCTGTGGTGTAGGTGGTTATAAACACAGCAGAACAAGATGGTTCTAAGCCATGCTTACAAGCAACCTGTGGGCCCCTACAGCAGTCTCTGGTTATTAAAACCTCTATTAGATATTTATTAACCTTTTATAAACGATTTAGAAATGGAACCTTCATATAGAGTCTGACCCAACAGGCTTATCTCACTAAGGGCCACTAAAATCCACAGATACATTATCCTAAGACTTCCCCGTGGCAGACATTGTGGCAGATGCTACAAATCAGTGGCATGATCATGTGGGGGAGAGGAGGTGGTTCACGTGGTTGCAGATGGAAAGGGAGAGGCCCATAGGAGAATCTCTGCATTGGGATGTCATCCACACTAGGGAAAATGTTTGAGAATCCACATCTAGATTACTGGCAATGGTGATTTCCTTACCATGATACAACTTCATGTGCAATGGTCTTGTCAGTATATTTGTTGTCCCATTTTGTAGAGAAAACAGCTAAGCTTTTAATTTGAGCAACCTCCTATGACTGCTGCTCCCATGATCTGTATTCTTTGTTTCAACAAACCCTATAAAAACACAGTTGGGGGAGGGGGATATTGTTTCATTTGAAATATTTATTCAGGCAATTCCCTGTACGAAGATGTGAGAAAACAGAAGGTGTGTGGGTGATGCCTACAAGATCAAAGGGAGTGCACAATGAAATGCCTGGGCGTACTTTGCAAGCCGAAGTCTGGACAGCCCATTATAGCGCAGTCCTGCAAACATGCGTTTGACAGCTTCTCATTTGTGCTGAGCACTAGTGTCTTCTGCTGAGAGGAGCACAGGGGTCAGAAAAAGAGATCTCCTCAAGTGAAGTTACAGGTCGATGGCAGGAATGGAGGTGGAGCAGGCTTTGGGTGGTGGGAGAATAGCCAGCATTTCACCATGTAGGATTCTTGGTTGCAATCCCTGTAAGGGAATGTTTAAACGCAAACTAACCGGCTAGTGGTTTCACTTGTTTGATTGCACAGAAATATTTCTGTTGATAAAAAGATTTTGCAAAGCCGTATTTTTATAAAATCTAAGGGCCAAATCCTTTCAACTTCACATAGTGCTTTCAAATCTGCTTGTGTGAGTCAATGTGAGTAAGACTGGCAGACTCTAAATGCTGGGCCTAAATTGACCATCGTGTCCCTTTAACAATACGATAATAACATTATTAGAAACAGCTCAAGTTCATCTGCAATTCCTGACTAACTTTGGCAATCCAAAGGGAGAACATTCTTACATTAATTGTACGTTTGCTAACTAAAATGCTGGCAAATCCAGTCTCCAATTTGGGATAGCTCCTTGCCAAATTGAGCTTGCAAAAGATGAGCGGTTTTCGGACATTTGTGAGATGGCTGAAAGTGAAACATGGGGTGAACTGTACAGTCAGTGGAATGCAGTCAGCTGCCTAGAAGGGCAAACACCAGCTCAAGACAAGATTACAGTTACATGATGACAAAGCTATGCTGTGCAGTGAGTTATAATCAATTTGTGTAAGGTCATGGTCCTGGCTGAGTCTACCCCTTGTGGATGGTCACCAGCCACCCATCACCCAACCTTTGGATCCCAGCTGCTTCCAGCCTGCTAGGTCTGTGTAGAGGCCAGGCATGGTCTCTGCTTTCTCCTCTAGGCACACTCCCAGGGTGCAGACTGCATGTCTGAACTCCTTCCTTGGGATGGGAGACTCCAGAGTCCTACTATCGAGACCTCTAGATCAGTGCTGAACCTCCCAAGGCTCTCCAGTTGCTTATGCATGCTCCCATGCAGCGCTTCCCTCCTGCCGCTGCCCCGTGGGATGTCTGGTTTATAATTTTATTCTTCAGGGACATGTGGCTGTGCAAGGAACTTCTTAAACATGCACACTTTACTCTTAGGACTTGTCTACAAAGGGACGGTCAGGAAAATTAATCCGAATTCAGATTAAGCTAAACCAAATTAAGGCCACTTTAATGCTGAATGCAAGTGCTCACACAGGGGTTTAATGCGGTTTAACTAATCCACTTTAAATTCACATCTTTAGTTAGTTTGGATTAATTTCCAGTGTAAACAAGCCCTTAGAGAGCACAGGACATTTACCAATCTAGGCAAATCAACAAACATCTTTAACACAACCCCACTCTTGAATCCTCACCGCTACTGAGTCCTTGGGGTTGGGATCGTGTCCTTGGATGAAGGCAAAGCCCCACTTCCCCAGGGAGGTTCTGTTTGAGTGGTGGAATGGCTCCATTTCCTTACAGAGCATGTCATTTTTCAAAGCAGTCTGTGACACTTTTGTTTGTTTGTTTCTATACTTCCGCTGGAGATTTTCCATGCTCCAAACCCCTAGGAATTGCTGGGGCAGAGTCATCAAAAGTCAATGGTTCTGTTGGTAGCAACCTCATTGTTCTACCAGGGCAGAGTTAGTGAATGTTAATGGACCTTGATAGCCCTGTCACACAGTCTGCAGACATAGCTGCCAGCTTCCTGCTACCGGATGGATGATCACATTCACAATGACTGTTACAAGTACCAGTATTGTTCCTAAAACTGCATGGAATTCATAACTGGACCCCAAACTATCCCATAAGGTATGACTGTTCAATTAATGCCAATTGCTGTTGTAAAGAATTTGGAGTTTAATGTCCCTTCCATGGATGATCATGAGACACATTATTGTACATATTTCAAAACAGCAAATAAGTTGGTGCTGGATCAGAGGTAACCTGGCCCCTAAGAGTTGTGTTCTTGAAGATAAAACAGATTTTCACAGCAAGATTTTCTCTGACAAGTGTCACGTAGACAAGAAATTTGTGTTCTTGGAGGCAACAGCAACAGGTCCCTGGGCCCAGATGGTACCAATCTAGGCATTCAGAAGGGTCTGGAGAAGATGCTGATGACAGAAGTACACAATCTCTTTTGAAGCAGCGACTCTCCAAAGGGGGCCGGAGGGACAGCACCTATCTGTAAAAAGAATACGCAGGGCCAGCGAAGGAATCCCAGAGCAGGTACAAACAGTAACGACAATTACAAACACCGAGAGGGTCATGGTTGATGGGCCAAGCCAGCTTGGCTTCTGCAAAAGAACATTGTGACTGGCTCATATTCTGCTCAAACTCTTTGTTTGTTCTGACAAAATAGGGAGTAAGGAAGAATGGGAGGATATCATTTATTTCAACTTTCAAAAAGCCTGTGACAAAGTCCCTCTGAAGAGGTCACTAATGAAGTGAAGCCACAGGGTTAATGGTCATGTTTGGAAACAATCCAAGGGACAGAAAACAGAGAGCAGGAATAAATGGTCCATTTTCACACTGGAAGAAGTTAGCACTGGGGTCCCACGTGGCTCTATACCAGGACTGGTGTCCCATAATATACTTATTAATGACCTGGAAACAGGGGTGAGCAATGAGGCAGCAAAAATAGCAGCTGGCACCAAATTATTGAGGTTAGTCAAACCTGAAGAGGGACTTCTGAGGGGCCTACCCACGGAAGGTGAATGAGCAGCCATGTGGCCACAGAAATTCAAAGCTGACAAATGCAGAGTCATCCAGACTGGAAGAAAGATTCTGAATCATTCAGACCCACATCCGGGTACTAATTTAACACTCAGGAGAAACTCCTGGACATCGCTGTGACCAGCTTAGCGATGACTTCTGCCCAATATGCAGTGAGGATCCGAAAAGCGATCAAACATTAGGATATATAAAAAATGAGAGAGACAGTGATCCTGGGGGGTATTACAGTGCTGTTATAGAAGGGTTACCTGACCCTAGAGCCAGATAACATTAGCAAGCTGGCCTTTATGCTGTGACCACTGAAATCATTCACTTTAGAGATAAAGTTTCGTGACTGCTTCTTGGAGCAGCTAGTCCTGAAACCTACAAAAGGAGAGGCAATTCTTGATTTTGTCCTAAGTGGAGCACAGGATCTAGTCCAAGAGGTGAATACAGCTGATAATAATAGTGACCATAATATAATTAAATTTAACATCCCTGTGGCAGGAAAAACACCACAGCAGCCCAACATGGTAGCATTTAATTTCAGAAAGGGAGACTACACAAAAATGAGGAAGTTAGTTAAACAGAAATTCAAAGATACAGTGCCAAAAGTGAAATCCCTGCAAGCTACATGGAAACTTTTTAAAGACACCATAATAGAGGCTCAGCTTAAATGTATATCCCAAATTAAAAAACATAGTAATGTAACCCTTCTGCCAGTCAGAGTTGGCAGCAACAAGGGCCGGGTTCAATATCTAGGGGATCCATTCCAATAACATAATGCAAACCGGCTCAAGCCCCCACCCAGTGACCTGGGACAAATATATACCACCCCCACTGGGGGCCTCCAAGAGGCAAGCACATAGTCTGAGTGTAGCAAAAAGCCTTTTAATAACAGAGAGAAACAATGTGGCATTATGTTGGGGAAACACCACCAACAGGATTCATAATACAACCCATGAGCAAAAAACCCACCCCAAGCAAATTGGGGCATGCCCTTTTCCCTTTGGTTCTTGAGTCCAGCAACCCCAAATCACCCAAAGTCCCAAAAGTCCAATGACCCAAAAGTCTCTGTCCCTGGTCAGGGCAGCCCCAGAGTTCAAAAGTTTATCTACAGAGCTTTACCTCCCGACCTGGGTGGAGATGGGGGTGGAGGTAAGAGGCACCTTACATGATCTGAAGCTGACCGCCCCACAGCTCCATAGGCCTTCGCTCCACTCCGCTCCGCCAGCCGCCCCACAAACTGCTTCGCTCAGCTCCTCTCTGCGGCCCACCGGCAGCTCCCGCCATCCCATGAACTGCTCCACCAGCTGGTCCACAAACTGCTCTGTGTCCCACCAGCAGCTCCCGCCGTCCTATGAACTGCTCCACCAGCCTGTCCACAAGGCACTCCAGCCATCCCGTAAACTGCTCCACAATGTATCTTCAGGCTTCTCCACTACTTAACACAACGCTCAGTGATTTCAGCTCTTAGTCAGTTCAGCTCTTTAGTGAATTCAGCTTGTAGTAGGGGAGTCTCAGGGCTGGTACACTATTAGCCCAAAGGGAGCTCAGCAGCCTGTAACTAGATATCTAATGAAATCAAAATTAGCTCTGATATTCCACAGTGGAGAGAGGAGGCAGTGCAATTAGCAAGCAAGGCCCACACCCAGGGGCCTATGCCACTAAGTATTAATACTTGCCCCCAGCCTCTCTCAATTCACAGAGTTTTGGAACCCATGACCCTTACCTAGTGAGTGCTCCTTAGTTGATGGTGAGCCCCTCCATCATAACAAAAGGCCAAGTACAGTTCCAAGCACAGTTCCCATAATCAGGGGAATAACGATTTATTCTTCCTACCCCAATAACAGAGACACTGGGGATCCCACAGCAGCCAAAGTGACCATTTGGGCAGCTATGGCCTCATTCTAGGCGGGGTGGGTGTGCCTATGCAAATGAGATCAGCCCCTGAAGTTCTTTTCCACAACTCACCACCAGATGTCAGGGTGGAGCTCATCCTGACACTGCTTACAGTAAGAGAACCAAAAAAGTGCCACTGTGGCTAAAAAACAAAGTAAAAGAAGCAGTGAGAGACAAAAAGGCATCCTTTAAAAAGTGGAAGTTAAATCCTAGTGAGGAAAATAGAAAGGAGCATAAACTTTGGCAAGTGAAGTGTAAAAATATAATTAGGAAGGCCAAAAAGGAATTTGAAGAACAGCTAGCCAAAAACTCCAAAAGTAATAGCAAAAAAATGTACATCAGAAGCAGGAAGCCACTGGATGATCCTGGAAGCCACTGGATGATCAAAATGCTAAAGGAGCACTCAAGGACAATAAGGCCATTGTGGAGCAATGTCTTCATGGCTAAGGATGTGAGGGAGATTCCCAAGCCTGAGCCATTCTTTTTAGGTGACAAATCTGAGGAACTGTCCAAGATTGAGGTGTCATTAGAGGAGGTTTTGGAACAAATTGATAAATTAAACAGTAATAAGTCACCAGGACCAGATGGCATTCACCCAAGAATTCTGAAGGAACTCAAATGTGAAATTGCAGAACTACTAACTGTGGTATGTAAGCTATCATTTAAATCAGATTCTGTACCAGATGACTGGAGGATAGCTAATGTGATGCCAATTTTTAAAAAGGGCTCCAGAGGTGATCCTGGCAATTACAGGCCTGTAAGTCTGACCTTAGTACCAGGCAAACTGGTTGAAACTATAGTAAAGAACAGAATTGTCAGACACATAGATGAACATAATTTGTTGGGGAAGAGTCAACATGGTTTTTGTAAAGGGAAATCATGCCTCACCAATCTACTAGAATTCTTTGAGTGTGGGGGATCCAGTGGATATAGTGTACTTAGATTTTTAGAAAGTCTTTGTCAAGGTCCCTCACCAAAGGCTCTTATGCAAAGTAAGCTGTCATGAGATAAAAAGGAAGGTCCTCTCATGGATTGGTAACTAGTTAAAAGATAGGTTTCAGAGTAGCAGCCGTGTTAGTCTGTATTCGCAAAAAGAAAAGGAGTACTTTTGGCACCTTAGAGACTAACCAATTTATTTGAGCATAAGCTTTCATGAGCTAATGCATCCGATGAAGTGAGCTGTAGCTCACGAAAGCTTATGCTCAAATAAATTGGTTAGTCTCTAAGGTGCCACAAGTACTCCTTTTCTTTTTAGTTAAAAGATAGGAAACAAAGGGTAGGAATAAATGGTCAGTTTTCAGAATGCAGTGAGGTAAATAGTGTCTGTACTAGGACGAGTGCTGTTCAACATATTCATAAATGATCTGGAAAAAGGGATAAACAGTGAGGTGGCAAAATTTGCAGATGATACAAAACTACTCAAGATAGTTAAGTCCCAAGCAGACTATGAAGAGCTACAAAGGGATCTCACAAAACTGGGTGACTGGGCAACAAAATGGCAGATGAAATTCAATGTTGATAAATGCAAAGTAATGCACATTAGAAAACATAATCCCAACTATACATATAAAATGATGTGGTCTAAATTAGCTGTTACCACTCAAGAGGGAGATCTTGGAATAATTGTGGATAGTTCTCTGAAAACATCCACCCAATGCAGCCGCAGTTAAAAAAGCGAACAGAATATTGGGAATCATTAAGAAAGGGATAGATAATAAGACAAAAAATATCATATTGCCTCTATATAAATCTATGGTACGCCCATATCTTGAATACTGCATGCAGATGTGGTTGCTCCATCTGAAAAAAAGATATATTGGAATTGGAAAAGGTTCAGAAAAGGGCAACAAAAATGATTAGGGGTATGGAGCAACTTCTGTATGAGGAGAGATTAATAAGATTGTTACTTGTCAGCTTGGAAAAGAGATGAATAAGGGGGATATGATAGAGGTCTATAAAATTATGTCTGATGTGGAGAAAGCAAATAGGGAAGTGTTATTTGCTCCTTCTCATAACACAAGAACTAGGGGGTCACCAAATGAAATTAATAGGCAGCAGGTTTAAAACAAACAAAAGGAAGTATTTCTTCACCTGGAGTCAACCTGTGGAACTCCTTGCCAGAGGATTTTGTGATGGCCAAAAACATAACAGAGTTAAAAAAAAACTAGATAAGTTCATGGAGAATAGATCCATCCATGGCTATTAACCAGGATGGGCAGGGATGGTGTCCCTAGCCTTGGGTTTTGCCAGAAGCTGGGAATGTCCGACAGGGGATGGATCACTTGATGATACCTGTTCTGTTCATTCCCTCTGCGGCACCTGGCATTGGCCGCTGTCATAAGACAGGATACTGGGCTAGATGGACCTTTGGTCTGACCCAGTATGGCCATTCTTATATTCTTATGTAACAGGCCCACTATATACCCTCCCACTGGACCCAGCAGCACTGCTGAGTTTACTGTTAAATCCGACAGCACAAAAACTTTCACAAAAAGCCACAGTTTGTCTCTCCTTTGCACTGGGGGAGCTGAGACAACAGAGGGGTCAAGGTGCTCTGAGGACAATGGTCTGGAGAGCGCTGAGAGCTGTTTGCATTTGTTGTGTGTTTCAGATGGGATTCATACACTGACCTGTGCCCTGATGCTGCTAAACACAGATCTTCATGGCCATGTAAGTAGAGCTTATCTAGGCCTCCTTCCTTCTTTCCTTCCTTCCCAAGTCTTTACCATTCTGTGGGCCATGCTGCCGGAGCACCTGGAGAAGCAGGGTGGGGCAGAAGAGAGCGCTCTGGCATTTCCAAGGTGGGACTCTCGAGACCAGGCCAGGTGAATGCCCAGTGGTGCCTGAAAGATAGCCCTGGAGACAGAGCCTCTGTTTGTGTCAAGCCCCACTTAAGTTAATGGCAAATCTCCCATTGGCTTCAATGGGGCTAGGATCTGTCCCTTTGTGTATAGTACAGGTCCAGCCCAGATAGTGGCAGTGCACCTTTGTTCCCAGTCTACCCTGCTGGGGAAGGACCCTCTGGAGCCGGGGGGAGAGGTATATCAGCTCCCCTTGACCATTCGCTCCTGGGGGTGAGCTGAGATTGCCATTGATTGGGGGATGGTTGTTACGATGGAGGCACCTGAGGCTAAATTCACCCCAGCTGGTTCTCTAGTGACGTCAGCAGAGTTCCCTCCGTGCATGCGTCTGATCCCTGCTCGTTCGGACCTGGACTGAGAACCACTCCCAGCTCATGTCACACAGCACCATGCACTGAGCACTATGAGATGCATTGGGTCACCTCCTACGGCAAAGCGTACGGCAGCGGGATAGCGGGGTATAGGGGACCGCTGACTGGAGGCAAGGCTGGTCTGACAACGGCAAGAGGGTATTTAAGGCGATTTCACCGGGTGGCAAAGGATTCCTAGCGCTGCACATGGGGGACATGTTCATCACAGGTTGGTGAGCCTGCTCCTGGCTGCTGGGAGGAGAGATCAGGTCAGAAATGAACATCTTCACAGCCAGGCCATGTATGAGAGGGGAAACCTAACTGACTGTAGGGGAGTAGCATATGAAAACAGAGAGTCCAGGAAATGTACGGAAAAACGACTGGCATCCCAATCCTATCCCGTGAAGGGGATGGTCCTGTTACCTCTGACTCCAGCAGGAGCACGATCCTCGGACATAGGGTGTTGTCAGCATTGTTAGTCTGCCCCGTAGCGGCTATCCCCATGGCATTGCTGAGCTGACCCCAAGCCTGTATGTCGCACAGGGGCACAGCATGAGGAAATGCCTATGGACAGTGAGTCTCAAATCAGTCCTCATTCACCTCTCCTAGGAGGAGGCAAGGAGTTCAGCCTCCTAGGCCCTGGATTCCCCTTGACATGCATGGATCTCTGGGCATCCTGTAGGGGCTGTTCACACGCAGGTCTGTGCTCTGCACAACTGTTACAGTTAGAACCACATTGCCAATTGCTCACTTGGCTGTCACTGGCCCTGTCCCCTCCCACCATGGGTCAGGATTCCCCACCTTCCTACATCCATGGGTAGGGGGACCGGATAGCAAGTCTGAGAAATCGGCACACTGGCTGCAGGACAATAGGCGCCGATATAAGACAAAGCCCTGAATATCAGGACTATCTGTATAAAATCAGGACATCTGGTCACCCTACCCATGTGTTTTAATCTGGTGTTCGCTGAGGGGAAGATTGCCCTCATCCCTAGAGTGAGCCCAGAGAGCCTGCACACCCCATATTCACAGCCTGGCAAAGGCCAAGCACAGCTTCACCCCTGTGCAGCCCCATGGATGGCAGCCATGCCAAGGGGCCAGGCAGGGGGCCAGAGAGGTGTGGCCATGAGCCAGCTCCTCCCACATACTAGCCCCCAGTAATAGCAAAGCATGCCAGGAAAGGGATTGTGCCTCCGAAGGCACCCCCAAAGAGAGGCAACTTTGTGCCCACAGTGCGCAGCCTGGCCCTTAGATCTTTAATTAGCTTTCTGCAAGCAAGCCCCCATGTCCTGCTCCCATGTGAGCCCCTCCTCAGTGGGGCGAATCCAGCTGGGAGATGAGCCGCCCCCCTTGCAGAGCTTGTGGGTGCAGTGCGGTGTGTCTCAGCAGACAATGCAGGTGCTGGGGGTGAGGGGTGTGACCAAGGCGTTACCAGGAGCAGGCCGGGCTCGCCTGGAGTGCAGTATTCAGCCTGGTGCTCTGGCCTTCCAGCTGAGTGGTGAGTTCTCACACCCACGTTCTCAGCGTGCGGTGGTGGGGACCAGGCGTTTGTACCAGCGCCGCCCCTAGAATGAACCATCTGGCTGCAAATGCTCATTGACGGCTGCATCACAGCCACCCTCTGCCGCTGGGCCTGGGGGGAGAGGAGTGAGCGCTACCCCCGATGGCATCCATAGGGTCTAACAGGCCACGGACCGAGCAGCCCGCTCTGACGGTCGCTGTTCTGCTGCACCCGCCACTCCCTCCTTCACGCACACGCTGCTTGTGGGATGATTATTAGTTTGAGTTTGTGCGTTTTTAGGGCCAGATCAGATTTGGTTGCAATTCTGACAGAGTCTCCTCTGTGGCCAGCTCCACCCGTGTGCTGAGAGGAGGTTTCTTCCTGCTCCTCAAGCTGGGAGGACAAGGAAATAATGCTCTGCAGACGGAGTGAGGCCAGAGAAGTCTAGACTGAGCTAGCAGCCCAATGGATTTTCAGCTTCAATCGCAGACCAGCATAAGGTTGAGAGAGAGGCTTAAGGCTGTCTTGGCTTCAGGGTGCCATGGGGGGCGTGGATTAAATTTGAGTGGGGCTGTGACCCCGTTTGCCTGGGTAGGACACCCCATTCTTGCAGCCCTTCTGGCACCCAGGGGCCCCAGACATCCCTAGCCCCCAGGGAGAAGTGGAGAAAGGAGCTCCAGACACCCCCAGTCTGCAGGAAGGTGGGAGGACTGGATCCTTTTGGTGCTTCCTCGGGAAGCGGAGATGCAGAAGGAGGATGGGGGCTGGGGCTCCCAGAACTGCCTGGCCCCTGGTGGGGATGGTGCTTTTCAGCCTGACTGCATCACTGTGGAGGAGCTTGCGCCTGGGTGTGGGGCAGGGAGAGCTCAGAGCTGGGTGCAGAATAAGGTCGGGGGGAAGAGCGCAGGGTTGGGTGCTAGGGGACAGCTTGGAGCTGGCTGCAGGGCGGTGTGAGGGGAAAAGCTCAGGACTCAGTGTTGAGCCGCTGGAGTGAGGGGTGTGCAGAGCTGGAGAGAGGGGGAGTGTATGTGGCTGAGGGCAGTGGGGAGTGTGGGGGAGAGAGCACGGGGCTGGGTGTGCAGCAGGGAGAGCTCAGAGCTGGGTGCAGAGTAACATCAGGGGAAGAGTATGGGGCTGGGGGGAGTGTGGGGGAGAGAGCATGGGGATGGGGGCAGGGCAGGGAAGGGAAAGAGGAAGGGAAAGGGCCCCTACCTTAGGAAAATTCTGGTTGCACCCCTTTCTGGGATGGAGGTGCATCCTGCAGCAGAGGGCAGGAGAAGGGCCTGAGGAGCAACTAACATACCACAGGGCTTGAGACTGCCATGAAACAGATAAGCTAGGCAGGAGGATATTTAAGCAGGGGCACAGGACACAGGTCAAAAATAACGGGCAAGATCCTGCTTAGCCCTTGGCCCCTAGCAGCACAAGGGCAGCTGACATGTTGAACGGCCGCCCTCAACCTCCCATCCGCCGGGGCAATTGCAGGTGCCATTTTCTCTGCTCCACGCTCAGCTGTATTCCATGGGGGGCTGCTGTGCCCAACTTTAAGGTACCCCGCTGTCATGAGGACATTGAAATGCATAAGCAACCTGAACGATTTGCTCTGAATCCAATCCAAGCCATCGGCTAGCGCCCCACTTGGCTTAGCAATGACACGGCCAAGCTTCTGGCAGCACAATGACTAGACGCTAGAGAAAGAGAGGGGCTTCGAAGCCCTGATGTCAGAGCTACCTCTAAAGTAAGCTACAGAGAAAAAAGAAATTACAGTGCAACAGAGACACAAGCAGCACAAACAGCGAATGTCTCATTGCCCTCCGTTAGCAAGAGTCCCTAATAGAATGTGTGTAGCGCCCAGCATTACAAGGCCACCATAGATAACATTCTGGGATCTCCCAGGGCTGGCAGGACTGACCCACTGTCAAATGAATCACAGGTTCCCAAGAGTAGTGTATGTGCCGTACAGAATGGATAGCATTACATTAGCCACCGGCTAGATTTCCAGATGCCCATCAGGAAAATAAATATGCACTGAGCATGGTGTTTCATGGTCTTTAATCTGGGTTTGGAACAGGATTCTGCAAGAACAGAACATCTCACAAATCCTTTACATGAACTGAGTACAACTGGTCAACTTTCTTTTTCATCAAAGCATTTTTTTCCCCTCAACCAAAAATGGCTTTCCAGCCAAAACACAAAATTCCCTTTCAGTCAAAATATTCCTGTTTTTTGATGAAAAACCAATCCCTCCAAAATTGTACAGAAAACTGGAATTTTTTCAAAGATCCAAAACACTTGCATTTGCGGTTTTTCACTGGGAAAATGCTCATCGTAAATTTCAAAAGAAACATTTTTTTCTAACTGCCCAGGGACAACAATTGATATTTTGTGATCGGCTTTAGAAATGAGGGTCAATGTGAGTTTCCCGGGCTATGGAGGTTTCTCTTCGCTGTGAAGGTTCTTTTCTATATTTTTTTGCGTGTGTGACATTAATTTCTTCTTCTCCTTCTTCTCCTCCTTTTTTCCTCCTTCTGCTCCTGGATCCTCTCTTTCTGCTCTTTAACCCTTTGCCAGGTGGTAAGTGCAGTGATTGTAGTGCTTTGCTTGAAGTTTTGGCATTTGATTTGGCTTTTTCCTGTGTAAGTCCTTTTGTTTGTGTGGATACCTACGTGATTGTGCATTACAAGAATGTAGTTTAAAAAGTACCTGAATTGCATGTATTTCTGGTGGGGGTTGGGGGAGTGATTCCCTGCTACATCCCAGAGGCCCAGTCCTGCTCCTATTGAATGAAATCAGTGGCAGAACTCCCATAGACTTCAATAGCAAAAGGATTCCTCAAACTAAAATGCTATTAATCATGCATCAGCATCTGGGTTCCTCTCACTGATATTCACAGCACCCACTCTGACACCTCATCACAGCAGAGCCTAAAAACACGCTGAATGTTTCCCACAGTCTACATT